TACGAAATTTATTAGCTGATTAGTGGTAAAGAATCCTATTTTTCTTATTAATTCGAATAATAATACAAATAATAAGACGCGATTTCATTAAACATTACATAGCCATATACATTGTGATAACTTCCCTCAAAGCTCGGTATTGTTGATAAACATTGATTTAAACTCCAACAATACACCGTCTTATCTCGATATATAAAAAAATTAATAATTAATTTGATAAACATTGATTTAAACTCCAACAATACATGATCTTATCTCGATATATAAAAAAAAATAATAACTGATTAGTTGTAAAAAAAAACCCATTTTTTCTATTAATTAGAATAATAATACAAATAATAAGACGTGATTTAATTATAGATTCAGCACCTAATATCCTTTTATTACTGAAGTACTGAATTATAGAGTTTTATTATTTAAAAATTCCTATTTTATTTTTTAGATGTCTTTCAACCTTCAATTATTTCAACCAGCCAATTTCATTAAAAGAGTCCTAAAAAATAGTTGATTTATACATTGTGATAACTTCTCTCAAAGCTCGGTATTGTTGATAAACATTGATTTAAACTCCAACAATACACAGTCTTATCTCATCTCGATATATACGTTGAATGCCTCTGATAAGGCGAGGAGGACAAAGTCAAGTAGGTGAGCTGACAAGCGAACAGTACGAATCAAAAAGACGGTTGTCGCTACTGGACGACGAAATGGGAAAGAATCAGGGCTAATTCCGACCTGCCGGTCATATGAGCGAGTGGACGGCCTTTTTCATCGCTTTTCGAGATGAAACTCTATTCTTTAATTGCTCGGCTATAAATTCTGCAAGAATATTAGGGATTTGATTGTATCTATACGCTCTTTCGTGGAACGGGGATAGGTAAACTTATCAACAGACTCTCTATCCTCTCTTTTTTCCACTCATTTGCCCAGTTCAAATCTGGGTGTCGCCTAATCAACATCAACAAAAAACCAGAAATCTCTTCTTCTCTTTCTGTTCGAGATGTCAATTATAGTATTCATATCGCCTGAATCCCAAATCAACCTTGACACAGGGCTGGATCATCCAAGGCACATTAGCATGGCGTACTCCTCCTGTTTGAACCGGGGTTTGAAACCAAACCTATCCTCAGGACAAATATAAGACGCGATTTCATCAAACATTACGTAGCCATATACATTGTGATAACTTCCCTCAAAGCTCGGTATTGTGATAAACATTGATTTAAACTCCAACAATACACAGTCTTATCTCGATATATAAGAAAATTAATAACTGATTAGTTGTAAAAGAATAACCATTTTAGCATTTCTCGCCAAATTTATCTACAAAATTTACCCACCAATTATCTAGATATATGTACCCGCCAATTTCATTAAAAGTGCCCTAAAAAATAGTAATTGTCCAACAATTTTGAATAGGGGAATAAATGGGTTGATTTATTGGGTAGAGATTTATTATTCTCTTTCCTGTTTGTTTTTTTGTATCAAAACTAGATATTTGTATTCGTTCCTCGCGAATCTGGCGAGCAACTGAGATTTCCCCACAGCCCAGTCTCCAATCAGGACAACCTTAAACATATAATCGATCTTTTGATTAAAATCTCCACCATATAGATTCGAATCAAGATCCTCTAAATGTTGAATCAAACATTTAAATTTAAGAAACAAAATAAAAAACCTAAAAGAAGGAAAAAATAAAGATGGGAACGAATTGAGAAAGATGAAGAGGTGGAGCAGATTAATCTCAAAGCTAGGAAATGAATAACCCTCAAAAATTGGGTTTTTTGGCTTTTATACCAGGCTTTTGTTAATTGTGGCCGTTAAATATCCATTAACTAATAGCCATTCGATCGATCCATTAAACAAATATTATTTAACCTGTTATATTGGGCCCAGTTTTTTTACCATGTACCCGACCCAGTTGTTTTTAACCTGTTGAATTTTTAAAAGCCTACTTCAAACCAATTTATACTTTAATTATGTATTTAATTGTACTTTGGTTGACGACGGAGTAAGTATTCTTCGTAGAAAGTGAGCATTTAATAAATATTTTCCACTTATGATTTCGTATGTCATGACCATAAACAAGAGTCAAGGACAATCTTTATCGCACGTTGGTCTGTTCCTGAAGAAACCTGTTTTTAGTCACGACCAATTATATGTTGCTGTTTCACGTGTAACTAATATAAGAGGGTTGAAGATATTAGTTTGTGATAATGAGGAATTACCCAATAAACAAACTCATAATGTTGTGTACAAAGAGGTTTTTAATAATATATGATTGTTTCGTGACGAAAAAATCTTTTTTTTTTTTTTTAAAAAAAATGTTCCTACATATTATAATTCTTTCGATTCTAATGATTACGAAATATTATATTATATTATTCTCTTGAATTCTTCAAAATTATATATCCCCGTGCATCGCACGGGTACTGGGTACTGTACGGTACTAGTGATATTAAACACACGGCCTAATCTGATTGTAATAAGGTATTGGGTTTCTCACCATGTAGAATTTTTGTGCAAGAGCCATGGCCCATTACAAATTTAAATAATCTTTTTATCTTTTTTAATTATTATTATTATTATTATTGTTATTATTATATTATTATTATTATATGGTGTTTCAATTGTTTTGTGTTGTGTTCATTGTATCATCATGTATTTGTAATGGCATTTTATAATTGTGTCCAATATTTTTAATTTCCAAATTAGAAAAAAACTCAACCTACAACAACGACGACAATATAGTTTTTTAGTCCCAAGCAAAAGGTAAAGGAAACACAAAAGGGCTCAAAACAAAAGGAAGAGATTGGAGCAAAAGAAACAATTGTTCCGGCACGTTGATTGCTAGCCTCCAAGCGCTCCTATCCACCGCTAAATCTTTAGAGATATTCCATTCTTTAAGGTCTTTTTGAACCGACTCTTCCCAAGTGAGTTTAGGCCGACCCCTACCTCTCTTAATATAATCTGTAGAAAAAAACTTAACCTAAAACAATAAAATCAAAATAAATTCGTTACGCGTGCATATAATTTCCAACTCCTTATTAGATAAATGAGTTTAAAAAATATATTATGAAAATATTTAATTTTTCATTCTTCACTGATACATTTATTTTAAATTAAAGATTAATTATTACCGCACATTTATATACAAAATATTTCATATTTATTCATTAATATATTTATAAGTATCAATAATTACACACTATTATCACATTTATATCATATCATACCATTTAGTCACTTAAATTAAAAATTTATTAACTCATTCACCTACTCTCTCTCCATTGAAATATTCTTTAATTGATAACAAATCCAATTTCACACCTATTGATCTTAATTTTGGCCTAAAAATTGTAAAGGTGTAAAAAGCGGGGCCCATTTTTCTTGTTTTGAAAAATTCCAAAAGGGCCCCCACAAATTTAACTTTTTACAAACACCACCCTTTTCTTTTTGACGCTTATAAAAAACCAGCTTAAGAGCACCAAATTCTTTACTTAAACAAAGCTCACACACAACACAAGTGGCTAAAAGAAAAAAAAACGCACAAACACACACAACTGCGTGTGTGCAGCTCCACACTCATTATTAGTTATCACTATGCTTCAAGACAAGGCCTAACAGCTGTTAGGTGTGTTAGCCATATTTTCTTGTACTGTTTTTTGTTCAAAGCTAGCGCCTTTTTGCTCCAATTCTCCTCTCTCTAGCTTGAAGAAGCATATAGAATAAAGCGGGGGAAAAGGAAAAAAATAAATAAATAAAATCAAATTGTGTAGCACATTTTAGACTTTTATTACCCGAAAAAAAAGGAAAAGGGGAGGATAAAGAAAGGTTCTTGCTTTCAAAATCTACATTATTGGAGAAGGGTTTTGGTTCATTCTGGCTTTATGGGCTTATTGAATATGGCAGCATTGTGCAATGCGTTGTTTC